CCTCTCGGCGGAGCCGCCGCGCGTTGTTACCGTTCAAAGCCGCAGCCCCGCCGCGGGCGCCGCTCGGGCGCGGGCCGCGCTGGCCCCGTGAGCGGCCCCGCGCAGCGGCTCTGGAGCGGGACGGTGCCGGGCAGCAGCGCCCTGACGAGCTACAGCCGAGAGGCTGTGAGCGGGGGCCCAGAGCAGCCGCGGCCGGGGGCCTTCTCCTGCAAGCCTGGAGCGTGAGGCGCCCGGCCCGCCATGGCTGCTCCCTCTGGGAAGGTGGTAATATAAATAATAACAGTTGTCACGGGCGGAAAAAAATCCAAGTCTCTGGACAAGGAAAGTCTCAGCCCCCTATCCTGGATGCAGATGGGCGCTTTGCAACCCAAGCGCGGCAGAGAACATGCAGGGACCCCGCGCATCTCATTCCCCTGGGGCTCTCCGTGATGCACGTGCAGAAAGCTGAGGGTGAAGGCAAAGAGAACGCCCAGCCTACGTTGCATCTGGGGATGGAGGCCACTGAAGGGGTTTGCGTGGTAACAGCTTACACACACACAACAGATTCTGCACTTGTCAGCACAAATCTCCATTTTATATCAAGTCTAGACTCCTTTCTAGCATCTCTTCAGAGGGGGAAAAAGGAGCATTTTGGGAGGTTTATAGTGCACTAAAATATACACCAAGAAACAGGTTCACAATGTAAAATCTTGGTAGTAACTCCAGGTTTGTTGGCATATTTTTTCTTTACCAAATGCTCTCTAGAGTACATAAAAACAGCAGAACAAGTAAGAGCCTTTAAGTGCCATTCAGGAAGAAGGCAGTCTTGTCTGGAGTACATTTCATCTGCTTTCACATCAACGTTCACAGAGTCTGCATTAGGAGCCAAAAAAATCCAGAATAATTACAGAATCAGGTACTCAGGACAGTTGGAACATTTTTTTTTTTCTTATGCAGTAATAAACATTTAAACATTTTTCATAACTGACATAGTATTTCATGTTAGAACTGGTGTCATAAGGAGTTTAAAACAAACTTTTTGCACTGAGCAATCTTTGCCTTTATGCCACTGAAAACAAACCTGGGGTGAACGCAGAGTTCGTTACCAGCAGCTATTCCTGCGGATAAACCCATTTTGCAGATAAGCTTGCCCTTTTTTCCACAACACAAGGGGCAATGGGTATAAGTTGGAACACAGGCAGTTCCATCTCCAGGTGAGGAGGAACTTCTTCACTGTGAGGGTGCCAGAGCCCTGAACAGGCTGCCCAGGGAGGTTGTGGAGTCTCCTTCTCTGGAGGTCTCCMAAACCCGCCTGGATGCCACCTTGTGCCACATGCTCTGGGTGTCCCTGCTGGAGCAGGATGGTTGGACTGGATGATCTCTAGAGGTCCCTTCCAACCTTGAACATTCTGTGTTTCTGTGAACACCAAGACACCATTCTGAACACCTCCTGCTGTTCAGAACGCAGCTTCTGCCCAAAGCAGCACGTCGGGAAACGGCTGCCGCCGCCTCCGCGCGCCGCAGCGCGGGCTCCGTTTCCAGTGGATTCTCTTGGTGCATTGGCTTCTTGTCACCTGCACAAACACTTCTTTTCTTGTTKCAAAATCATAAGTACAACTGCACGTTCAGATTATCTCACTTTTAGCTCGCACCATGCCTATCGAGGCCTTTGTTGCACACAAGATCTTAATTTTATCGTTACAATTCCTRTTCTTAGGCATCACCCCACGGCTGTGCCCCGAGTGGTGCCCGCGCTACAAACTTTTGCTGACACGCAGGGAAATGAGGCCCGATGCCCAGCAGGACGGCGCCGCACGCRGCAGCTGCTGCAAACACCCTCGCGCTGGGGGAAAAGCCGCAATCCCCGGCTTTCCGCTAAAAACAGGAGTTTTGCTGGTGTAARTTGCATCCAGTCCAGGACCGCTCTGCCCTTCACGCACTGGTGCTGCCCTGCTGGCAGTGCCCCAGGCCGCCTGTAGCTTCAATCCAACCTCCCGTTTTGCTTTCCGCCTGTTTTTCAGTTGTTGCAGACCCCAAAGCAGGGCGCCAAGTGCTTCGCCACAGCAAACAAGTACTCAGAAGGAACATTTCAAAAAAGTTTATTACATCAACGAACCAGCAAATACTATTTCAAACACAGCCACGCTATCTCTTTTTTTTTTTTCCCCTTAGATCTTAATTTAGCTGTATTCAATAGCAGTAAAAATGGGACTATAAAACATAGAGTGGAGATGTAATAATAGAGTTGAGATGCAATCTGAGGGTTTTTCAAATATTATGTTCTTTTTAGGTATTATAKCTAAAATGCAGCCAATTAGTGTAGACTTATGCTTTATAGCATGTTTAAATGTTATGTAATGCAAATAGATTTTACTCTAATACCAAATCTAATACCAAAAAAACAAAAAACAAAAAACCCACACTCATATTGCTCAGTATCTTGAATTGTAAATTGTGGGTTAAAATTTTATTTACGCCTCCCTTTTATAGACAAGGTGATGGCAATGGGATTTATGGAAGTGGTAATCAGCAGCATCAGATGGGATGAGTTAAGGAGATGCTAAGACTTTCTCTGCACTGGTTTTTCAGACCACCAGATATGTTTTTTTGTGTTCTGTTCAACCCCAAACAGTAACATTTGGTCTCAAGTGAAAACTCCACCTGAGCATCACATAGGCTTGAGATTTATTTCAGTGCTGAGGAGAAGCTTTTAAAGTTTTAACAATTTATGAATTGGTGTATATATATATATATATTATATATTGGTATATATCGGTATTGAATATGGTCTTGGAGAATTTTCCAATCCATAAGCTGCTTCCATAACACAGGAGGAACACAGCAGAGTTCCTTGGCTTTTGCTTGCTTTATTATTTTAACATCCAAGGAACTGTGGGGTTAGTTTACTCAATAGGAAACGAAACAGAAAAATTAATTTTAAACTGATTTACCAAAAAAATAAAAGCCCAGAGATTTGCAGACATAATAAAATTTATTTAAATTCCATGCATTAAGGTAGCTACAAGTGTAGTCATATGAAACTGAAGGACAATAACTTCTTCTGTCCGTACAATGTAGCTGTAAGTGAAATGAATGGGAGTTCCACAGTTACAAAGAAACAAACAAAACCAAAACAAAAACAAAAAAAAAAAAAAAGAAAAAAGAAAAGAAAAGATAAATCTGTTTCAATTTTGAGTTCTGTGAATTCAGATACAGCCCCTAGACTGTAAACTTTTGGGGGAGGAGATGGGCTCACCACAATTGTACAACCGAAAATGTACATTCTGAAGAAGCTCTGAAGATTCCTTTTAATAATTACGAGAAAAACTCTGGAAAATGAAATCAGCCTTCATCCTAATTGCTAGAATCAGGACAGCATTTGTACTTTCAAAGTGCAGCTAAATAGGGTTTCTTTATGCAGCTCCTTCAAGTTGTACTGAGCAAGCTTTATGTTGAACCAGTTTTGCTTTTAAATTTCTCAGCAAAACACCCCTGGTCCTCACAAGCTTCCATTGCTTTGATATGCAAAAATTTACAGACTGTGCTTGATTCTGACCCTCCCATATTTCAGTATGTGCAAACTCGTAGGGATTTAAATAGTCCTTCTCCCTCTCAGTTCAGACTGATCTTTAAAACAAGAAGGATTATCCAGCCCTCTAAATTAAAGACAGGGTGAACCGAGGAACTTGGATAACTGGCACTTTTTAATTGGCCCAGTTCTCCCACAAAAAATGTAGCTCTTATAAATACTAATAGGCACTATCGCCACAACTCTCTTATTTTTGCAGTTTCACCGATTTACTTGTTAGCATTTTCTGCAGTTAAGAATTTAATAACGCCGTATTTTAGAGAGACACAATATGTAGTTCCAGCCTTCAAGATCAACGTCCTGTGTCTAGTAAACATGTTAAGTCAACCTAAATAATCTGTATTAACAGATGTAAAAGCTAATGAAGGTGCCACATTTGCATGAATGTTTTTAATTTTAAGAATGCATTCAAAGGGAAGGGGCAAAACTAGTTCCTGTAATACAAACTTGGTTGAGTGCCTAATTGCCTCATTTAAAACTGTGTGTGTGGGGGGAGGCTGAGGAGTTTAGAAAAGCCCAGGTAACCAAATATCGAGGTTCCTGGGAAGTTAAAAAGCTAATGCAACTGCGTTACATCCAGATAAAAAACATTATTCAAAAGTAATTCAAATACCGAAAAAGATTTCAAATTGAATAGTTTATTAACATGGTGGTTGTCTTTGTAACATGTGCACACACACTCGCACACTCTGAATGATCTGCCTGGAAAAAAAGATGTCTTAATATATGCCTGGGGGAAATTAAACATTAAAAATCCTTTAGGTTTTCATAATTATAGGCAATTATGTCCACATCACTTACAAAGCTATTGCCGAATCTTTCCAAGGAAGCAGAATTTGGGAGAAAAAAAAATCTTTGGGGGGGGGTAAATTCAACAGTGGCATAGCAGAGCTCTCAATATGAGAAAGCTGACATAATGTGGACCTTTGCTGTGAAATTTGTCTTTGCAAAATATGGGGAGAAGTTTATCAATGGGCAGAAAAGAAGAAGGCGGTGTGAAGTAGGCTTTTGCAGAGTCGATTTTCCTCACAGTTTTGTGCGGGGTCATTGAGAAAAACGCTTAGTCCTTCTCCGGAACCAGTTTCAGAACTTTTCCAATTGCAATGGTCTTGCCTAAACCAAGGAGACAAACGCCAGTTAGACGGGTTGTTGGAAAGATGCCATAAGCCTCCCGAGAGGGTGAAAGCTCCCCCCAAAACACGGGCTCTCCAGGATATGCTAACTTCCACAAGGCAGCAAGTTGTGCCTCCCATCGCTAAAGCACTATGTGCTTTAAAAGATACAATAAATTCTTAAAAATTGCACTTGTGTATGATTATGTATTTTTATATATTCACACACACACAAAAAGTTATAGAAGCTACCTTTTCTTATCAAGATACATCTATTATTGTTATATAAGGTAATTTCATCTCCCATTTTTACAGCTTTTAAATGTGTTTTTATTTTCAGTGTGTCCCCAAAACGCTTAGGGATTTTTACCAGGAGAAACATAAATTACAGCACAACATACAACAGCCCCAATTTCCCTGACATACATTTTTCTAGTTCAACCTTTTGCTTCGCAGTGCATATTATCCCTCTAAAACATTCTCTGCTACTAGCCAAAAAGCACAAYGTACAATGACATTTTGCTTAGATTTCTTTATGGACTGTTACCTATATAACAACTTCCCACTGGATACTAGCTTTTGTATTGTACCTCATTGCCATGCAAGACTTTCTATTTCRAATAAGGGTATTTTTGCAGAAGTTACATTAATAATCAGTGACCAGTCTTACCCTCATCTCTTAAGGTAAAGCGCCCCATCTGAGGGAAGTCTTTGAATGTCTCAAGGCAGATAGTTCCTGCTGTCCTTAAACGGGCAATGCAGACTTGATCTTGTTTCACAAAACGGGGCCGTGTCTTACTTTTTTCTCCTGTTTTTTTGTCTACCAAGCAGATTAAGGCCTGAATAAGAAAAGAATAAATATCTGAGAGTGCTAGTTCTTTTCTCCTTTCTAAACAATAGGAAAGTGGTCTAGGAAAGAAGCAGTCGAAGCAAGAACTTTGCCATCTTAGTCACTCTACTTACGTACTGGGAGACCTCCTGCTCCCAGCACTGCCTATATTCAGATTATTCATATCATCATCTAAGAGATGCTTACTGTTATCTCAACTTCTTCAATACAGGTGTGGATGTGCAGCACAGCGTTATAACCTGGGCAGATAATGGATTTGTGCTCAATTATCACTATCTGCAAAGCAAGCAAAAAAATCAATATAAGAGGATTTCTTTCTCATTTTATTATAAAAGAATAATTGGAGAATAACCAAGCACAGATCTATATTAAAATGTACAGTTGAACAATATACCGACATCAAACAATTATTTTGGGGAAGGAAAGAAAAAAGATTTAGAGGTTTATAAAACTTAATGTAGCGGTTACATTCAGAACAAGTGACAGGTATTTTCAGAACAGGGATTGCTGACCCCGCAGTCACGGCGACGTAYGTTTTTGTCATTTATAGATACGATAACGAGGCAAAAATCTGAACTGAAACTTCAAACTACTGGCATTTTGACTAGTTGAAACATTGGTTGAAATCTATTTATATATTAAATATTCATTACTCTACCTGGGCATCAAATGTGCGTCCAGAATGACAGAGGTTGTTGGGATCACAGAGTATAAATCCCGGAAGGATTTCTTCCTCTTCAATTCCCTTCAGCCGGATCTTTAGATTTTCACCTGGGGCTACTGAATCAGTTTCTACATCATCAGAAAGGATTCCAAGAACTTCCACATTGTGCTTAAAGAAAACATAAGTAAAGTTTCCCAACRTGAATATTTTAATTTAATGAAATTGCTTTAATACAACATTATTTCAATACATAAATGCATTATAGTTTAAATCCATGCTATTCAGTTCTCCAAGCTTCAGGACACATAAAGCATCTTAATAACATAATAGAACTTCCATTATTCCAGGTACTAGAATATAACACAGCATATTTATTCAACAGATTTGAATTCATACAATTCTGTAACATATGTTCAATGGAGAGCAAATTTAAAACACAT